AAATGAGAACTAAGAACTACTACTTTTTAGAAAATAAAAATGAATAGGTTGATGCAATCCAGTGCTGCTGTTAAGAAACAGATGCTTTCACCAAAAATAAAAAAAGAGGTAAGACAAGATTGGTAGTGAATATCGCAGAGATGCCCAATAAGGTGGCAGGGTGTAGTCTTGCAGTCTGCTTCAGGCAAACTGGTGTTTTGTGTTTGGCTTTACCCATTAGGACAGTCAATTTATGAAAATATACTTTTTCCCCCAACCCCGCCCAAAAAACCTGGAAAAATCTGATTTAGGGAAATCAGATATCTTCTTTTTCATTTCTTTTGATGAAAACTCAAAAGCAATGCAATTTACACAAAGCCATGGGTTTTGATTGATGGAGTTTTTTTCCTTTCCAGAAAAAGATAACAATGTGGATGACTGCAAGAGGTCAGTGTCAGTAGCAAATCTACAACTGAAGAGGTGAATCTCTGAGAAACAGCAGACACCAAGTATTCTTTTTCCCTTCTCTCTTTTTTTTAAGGTCCAAGGATAAACTTGTCTCTGAAATTGGGACTCTCTTGACTGAAATTGCATTTCTCAAGGAAGTACGAGAACAACTGGTGAGCTTTTTGAATCAAGATGCCCATATGTCTTGAATTTATTCCTTGTCTTGTTCATTTATGCCTCACATTTGTAAAATATATTAGGAGAATCCAGGGATGACACAGTTGTACCACTAACCCCATCTATATTGTTCCTGAAAGGATCTGATTACAAGACAGATGCTCTAAATCAGAGGTGGGGAACTATGGCCCCTTTATGACTTGTGGACTTCAACTCCCAAAATTCCCTGAGCCAGCATGAGAGTTGAACTTCACAAATCATAAAAGAGCCATAGTTCCTCACCCATGCTCTAAACCAGGGGTTCCCAATCCCCGGTCCGTGGGCCAGTACCGGGCCACAGCATGCCAGCAACCAGGCCACGCAAGCAAGCAAAGCCCCATCCGCGGGATGCAGGCAGCACACAAAACCACACACCCTCCAAGCTGCGGAAAAACCTCTCTCCACGGAACCAGTCCCTGGTGCCCAAAAGGTTGGGGACCTCTGCTCTAAACTATTAATTACATCTAAGTTTTCTGCTTCAATAAGTGATGTGGCTCACATAAATCAAACTTTCTTTGTCTTCCACTTAACATAACTGCTCCAAACTCTCTTTCTTTGTCCCAGAGCATATTATACAACCCACCCACCCCAAATGGAGCATAAACATTGAGAGCTATTTCATGCAAAGAAATCATAGTTTTGCTGTCTGGCACACACATCAGCTTCCCTCCCTCCCCTTTTGCAAATGCAGAAATCTTTTTGTTTGTTTGTTTGCTTGGATTTTGCATCTCTGCTTCAGGAGCAACTCACAAACACATTTCTCTTGTCCTTTCCTTTTGGGTTGTGATAGGTGATTCCTTCAAATATCCCAGCCTTGATTTCAGTGGATTGAGTGTTTTCTGGAAGAACAATGAGGGCTGGGCTGGGGAATATGCTCTCAGTGAAGGAAAGCTTGCAGGCTCAGCAGAAGGAAGGATTTAATACTATAGAAAGACCCAGAGGGACATATACAAACACATGCAGATACACATATTCTAGCTCAAGGAGAAAAGAAATTACAGAAAGTCCCACTTTCCTCCAGCCAACCTTTCCCATTTTTTAGTTCTCATACCACATGGTACTATTAATCTTTTTTGAATCCCAGGGTCCATTTTTCACCACTTCCCTATTGTATTCCATATTGCTTGGTGGTATTTGCAGTTACTCCTCCCAATCCCTTATTCTGATGCTCACTTTAAGCACAGTTAATATATCAGGGGAACGTCTCCTCATCAGCATCAAAGAAATGATATGAAACAAAATATAATAGACAAAAAAATCAGTACCTGCCAGGTACTTTGGGGAGGTGTAAAATGGACGATGCAGCTTTTGACCAGAAAGTTCATAATTTAAAAAGAATCCACTCCTCAAATTCCTCTCCTCTCCAAAGCAATTATTGGATTACCCCAATCTAACAGGAATCTCGATTTTGGAGGATTTGTTTTAATCCCCCATAAATTTTAGTCATTAATTAAAGTATTTAGCCCAAACCTAGGTGAAATACTGGGTAGTCAAATGGTGATGATCAAGTGGATTCAGCATGGTTATGAGGCCATAAATGTCTGCCATAAAGCTAAGTGTTTCTTGCCTGTGTGGAAAGTGTCCAGCATAAACTCCCCATATCAGCCGTGTTGGTATAATGGTTAGAATGCAGTCCTGCCCACTGTCAGGAGTTTGATCCTGACCAGCTCAAGGTTAACTCAGCCTAGCATCCTTCCAAGGAGTGTAAAACGAGAACCCAGATTGTTGGGGGTAATATGCTGAGTCTGTAAACTGCTTAGAGAGTGTGGTAAAGCACTATGATGAGACATATAAGTCTAAGTGCTATTGCTATTTGCTTAATACATTTGTTTTGGACTTGAAAGGGAAGAAAGCATCACACTTAGTTGTGATGGGACCTGTTTCTGCAGAATTAAGAGGGATGAAGAATTTGTGAACAAAGTATCATCTCCTGAGTTGTTTGCTCTTATGTTTCTTCTCAGAGATTTAAGGACCCTGAATCCAGGAAAGAAACTACTAAGGCTCTTACTGAAACCATCCAGGCCAAGCTGGAAGTAGCTCATGCTAAAATAGAGGCTGCAGAGGCTAAGAAAGAAACCTTAGAAGCTCAGAAGATAGCTGAAGAAGCTAAAGAATCAGCGGAAGCAGCTCAGGCTCGGGAGGACAACCTACTGTCCTATGTCTCCAAAGTTGCCAGTTTGGCCTACCAGCAAGCTGCAGAGGCAGAATACGATTGTGCCCAAGCTCGGAAAGCCATGGCAGTAGCAGAGGCCGTTCAAGTGGCTGCCTTCACTGATGGCAGAGTTCGCCGGAACAACAAGGAGAAGTATCCTCGAAGCCATCGGAGTCATGGGGAATGCCGGTGTCATCATCACCACCACCACCATCATCATGGCCAACATGAGCGCCACAGTGATTATGAGACCCAAAGTGATCTCATCCACTCTGAACCAGAGACTCTGAGTAGCACCCGATAAAGCAGGAAAGAAGGAAGCAGGGCTGGGTGGGATGGCTTGATAGTTAATGTCATTTGAGGAAGCGTGCAGAATTAAATTTTTTGTTTGAACCATGAATAACTGATTCATTTCATAGGTATGCTTAGGACAAGGTTTAGGGGAGACCTGATAACAGTCTTCCAATACTTGAAGGGCAGTCACAGGGAAGAGGGTGTCGATTTATTCTCCAAAGCACCTGAGGGCAGAACAAGAAGCAATGGTGGAGCTTTTCAGAGGGAGATGCAACCTGGAAATAAGGAGGAATTACCTGACAGAACAATTAAGCAGTGGAATAGCTTGCCTCCCAGAGTTGTGGGTGCTCCATTGCTGGAGGTTTTCAAGAAAAGATTTAACAACCATTTGTCCAGGATGCTATAAGGGCTCCTGCCTGGATAGAAGGTTGGACTAGAATACCTACCTTCATGGTCCCTTCCAGCCATGTGATTTTATGATTTTAGCCTGTAGCCTTTCCCCACTTCCCACAGTTTGCATCAGTGCTTCTATTTTTCAGATTTTATAATGAACATATAGAGATCAAGTAGCCATGCTCCCTCCCCATGTCTGTATGTAATGGTTTTAATAAATATGTATTATATTATTATTTATTTAAATGTATTGGCCACCCAACTGGGCTGGATTTCAGTAGCCTACATGGAATGACTTGATTCGTCACTAGCTCATGTTTAATTTTTTTTAAAAAGAATAATGTAAATAATTTTTAAAACAATTCAGGGTTTAAAGACACGTAAGAAAGCTGTTCCAAACTGCTATAGTCTGAAGCAAACATTGAGACTGTAGAAATCCACACTTCTGTGTTGTAACACAAAACGTTTTTAAAAATGCAAAACTTACCCTATGAATATTTCCAAACTTTTAGCCTCCCTGGGGGACAAAGGTCGCAAAAATGTTTATAAAACCCAAGGCCCTGTTTTGCTCTGCATTTCATGAATGCATCAGTTGTTTATCTTAACAAAAGGCTACAACTTCCAGCCAAAGAGCGCTCAGTTCCCTTCTCTAATCAAGACCAGTTATCTTAAAAAACAAGCTCAATTCTTAGTTTGTGCTTCAGGGGATGAGTTGATGATGCAGTTTGTTTGTGCCAACACCTGCAACAATTGCTTCAGTTAAGCAAGGCTTCTGCCTCCAGATCTGAAGGAGCAGAGAATGAAAACTTGCATCTTGAAACCTTTTTAATTTAGTGAATGTGCAGCAGGTGGGAATGTTCAGGAGGAAAATATTTTGAAAGCAGAATTAGGCCTTAGAAGTTCAATCACTAGCAAACGACTACCAAGAAGTGGAGGAGAAGGAACTGGTGCACAGAAGTGTCTCTTCTCCTCCTGCTTCTTTTCCTGTACAAACTCAATTCACTTTCCTTGCACTGGACATCTTGGTTGTTCTATAGAAAGGTTAGGGATATGGTCTCTGCATATCACTCAGCTTTAAAGTGTTTTCTTAACCTGTTGAAAGAAAGAATCAACTTGAGAAAAACAGAAATAATTTGGAAGAAGATCAGAGCTGGTGACCAAATGGAACATAACTAATGGTTAAGGAAAACCCCAAACTTCCAGATTATGGAACTCTCCATTGGGAAAAATCTTGAAACTCAGAGCAGATAGCTGACAAAAATAGGTTTCAGTGTTAGAAAGCTTCATGCAAACTATGACTAGAAAGAACATAAGCAAGGGGTTCTTAAATTTTGAAACATCCTGGAAATCAGAAACATTAGGAGAGCCTTGAGGTAAAGCATGACTATTGTCCATTATTTGCTATAAGGGATTGCTGGAGTTAAAGTGAAAAACCCACAGAGAACTTCAATTATTTCTAGAAATGCAACACACAATTACCTCCAAAATTATATATTTAAAACAATCTTCTTCAGTTTGAAAAGAAATACTTTATTCATTGAGTTAACCAGTTCGTTTAATAAACTTCTGTTCATAATTTTGTATCAAATAGTGATACTAGAGTGAGGCCTACGTTACCATGCTGCTGAGTTTCTATACAAGAGTGTTTTTTTAAGTTTGAAGGTTGACTTGAATTCCCAGAATTCCCCACCAGCCATGCTAATCTGCACATAACATCTACATGTCTTCAAGCCACCAAGCTGTAGAGTGCATTGTTGGCAGCAGATACAGTTTTTATAGTATAACTAGATCTTGAACAATGCAACAGAGAGTTTAAAACATCTAAGCTTCAACATTTTAAGAAAGGAAGAGCAAAATAACTCTGTATATTCTGCAACGGTAGAATAACTCTCTTAGCTACGCATGTCTAAGGCTGACTTTTGCAAATATTTTGCAAGGGTTGAATAGGCTTTTCTGTTTCAAAATTTCAAGTTGTCTATTACCACTTTCTGCTTTATAACCTATTTTGAAAGATTTGGAAAGAAGGGTTGTATGAAAATGTGTCTGAGGAATCAGTGATGAATCCACACAGAGATTACTTGAATGCATGTGATTGTTTTTTAAAAAGTGGGTGGGAGTTTGTTATTAAATGTTAGGTTTATCTCTGTTCTAGGTTCTATATAATTCTGCAGTCTATGGAAAATGACTTCTGGGGTCCCATTTCCACTGGCCACTGACAGTTTTGAGCTCATTTATACTGCCACTGTACCACAAATATCATGCAATTCACAATATATGTTCTATCAGCATGAACTACCATCTTTTTCCCTGACAAAAGAATTGTACATTTCAGCATGTACATAAACACCAAGGGCTCTATTCCTATCTTTTATAATTACAGTACAGCTCTTATTGTTATGCTAAGTACTATACTCTTTCATATGTAGGCCCCCTCCTATCCTATATAGCTTTGTAAAAGGAAGAACCTTTTTTTGTTGTGCAACACAGAGAAATACAGAACATCTCAAATATTTTTATTATTCAGAATGCAATAATCATCAGCTTGCTAAGCAAACAGGTTATTATGTCTGTAGCTGCTCCGCTTCTCCCTGTATAGCGTATCTTCAGCTCGGGAGCTGTCCTGTTGGTTTGAGGGCTGCATCACACATAGCTTGCAATAATATGTTCAGCAACCTTTGATATTCAAATTCTATGTAATGAACGGAAGCCTTAAATGGCTTGGCTTCTTGTAACTTTGTTGTATACATTAGGAAAAGTGGAGGATATAAGTTGGAAAAGGATGAAATGGCACCTCCCCCGGTAGCATTACAGGCTGGATAGAAAAATTACAGTAGTTTCTACTGTAGCACCTGAGACATATAAAGGCAGAAGTTGGGCGGTTCCTTTTTGATTGCATTGGCAATAAGAAAGCACAGTATCTGCTATTCTAACAACCTCTGAGGTCTCATAGTTTCTTCTCCAGTAAATCCTTTGTTCACTCTTTGGTTGTCAAATTTGTCCTATCACTGCCTCAAGCACTTCACTCCAGCATCCTCAGCATGCCCACAGTTTGTTTTTCCCCAGCTGGAAAAGCTACATTGGAGAAGACTATCTTCTGTTCCCTTGCAGGCCACATCATCCATCCAAATCCGTCCTTTCCCTGGGAGAAGAATTGAATAGAATCATTAGGTTGCAATGGTTAATAATCTTTCATTTTTGCATCAAATTGCAATAGCTAGGAGAACGTTCACACTTTGCAAAACCTAAATCTGTGTTTCTCAACCTTGGCAACTTTAAGACATGTGGACTTCGATTCCCCAAATTCTCCAGCCAGCCATCATTTTCTAGTCATTCTGTTGGGAGATCAGACATTCTATCATCTGTCTGTCTACAGTGTCCGTCTATATTGTTTATCTCTAGTATCTATCTATTTGACTTGGCATTCAAAGTTAGAGCATGCTAGGCTGCATTAACAGAGGGATAGAATCAAGATCACGTGAAGTGTTAATACCACTTTACAATGCCTTGGTAAGGCCACACTTGGAATACTGCATCCAGTTTTGGTCACCGCGATGTAAAAAAGATGTTGAGACTTTAGAAAGAGTACAGAGAAGAGCAACAAAGATGATTAGGGGACTGGAGGCTAAAGCATATA